TTGTAAAGGTATGGATACCATTTCAAGGTGTTCAGTAACTGAAACAGTTCCATCTCGGTTTAATGAAAATGACACTCAAAACGACAGTAATTTGAAAGAAATAGTAAAAAATACATGCAAACCATTGCTCATCTTAACCCGATAAAATTAGTTCTCGATAAGAGAGTAACTTTTGTTGAACAATTATCTAAAGGGTAATCTCATGCTATGCATGGGAATGGCTTGTCAGTCAAACTTTGAAGGAGAAAGATATTTTTTGACAAAGACTTTTAGTAATCGTTTCTTTTGTTATGTTTTTTTTTTTTAACTTTTAAAATAAAAAAGGTGTTCTTGAGATGCATCGACCCATGTAAATACGATTAGAAAGCCTTCCGGTATTGCTCTCCCAAAGAGCGTTAAGTCTTCTCAAGGGGAAATGTGTTCACGGAAAATTCACATGCTTGCGTTTCAGTGGAAGCCAAAGGTTGGTGAAGATTGTTTCCGGCGTCACTTAATGACTGTGGATGATAAAAGATGATAAAAGTCCGAAATAGACTTATTTGAACCGAACATTTTTTTGTCCTTCTGTCTGTCGTCTTGAGGGGAAATTTGGATTCCACAAAACATTGGATCTCACAATACACTCAACAAACGATTTTTAAAATAGAACAAACATGTATACATACTTGTCACTGCTGCCGGCGTCGTGACTCGTGAGCGAATTGAAAATGCTTTAAGATAAATAGAACACAACGCGTTCTCCATGAAGACTATTCATCGAGTAAGTATTTTATAGGTAGCTTAGTATAAGTGAGTATAAGTATAAGTATTTGGCACCTCAAACAGAGCTCAAAACATGATCTTGCGCGTATGCGGTATCACGCCAATGAGTTGCCGCTACGTCATCGCTATTTCGCGCCAGTTTTGATGAGTGAGAGGAAGCCTTTTCCCCAAGTTGACATTTGTACGGCTTTGTTGTAGTTTCAGCTCGTGTTCGCTCGACTGTCAAACAAAATGTAGAGGGGCAGTGAAGACTTAAACCTTCAGTGAAGATGTTTCAGGAAAAGTATGAAGGAACAAGCTTTAAACATTTCTTCAAAATTTAGAGCTTACATAACGGATCTAGCGATTCATCTCAAATTGATTCAAAAAGGCTGGTAAGAGGTGCCGTCGGCAAATTAGTGTTATAAGGCCGGAGTTAAGCAAATTGTTACGTTTTGAATATAAGGCTTTAAGTTCTCAATTCAATCTTAAGTTTTCAAAGTCCATCATTTACGTGTGGGGTTTGCCGTAAGGGATTTCGATTAAGCTGACTTTATTATGGTTTTGGAAGCCTTCTTGACTTGCGAGGCAGCGCGGCAGAAATGACAGTTTTCAGTAGTAGGATTACGATTTCAAACAATAGGTGAAAGCCTTGATTGCAGAAACAAATACTGTCTTAAAATGCACGTCGTGAGTAGGGTAGAAAAAAAAAATTTATCGAGCAAGTTTAGGTGTTGCTAGTCATTAAAATCTTGGCGAGGAAAAAACCTACAAATTCATCTTATGATAAATTTTTCTGTAGATAAGAATGTCGTCAGTTACACGTCAAAGTCTCGTTTTCAAGAATGCTGTCTCGTGTACTTCACACAGATTAAAGTGAACGTAAAACAGCGTCTGTTTGATGATTATTCGAACTCGCAAGCGGAGGATTGTTCATATTCTAATGTAACCACCCAGATTACTTATATCTATGTCCCTTTTTCACCCTAATTTCAGCGATGGTTCGTTCTGGAGCAATGGAAAAATAGCACTAGGAAAGGTTAACATCCCGTTCAAAGGAGAAGGGTGCTGAAAATTGACCTTGTATATATTCTAAACCCACCGAGGGCGAGGTACATTAAGATCACCATTTTTGAAAGTTAGAAGGGTTCACGTAAAGCACTTTTTCACCTTTTAGAGAAGAGCCATTGAGTTTTTCGTGGTCATTTCGAAAACGTTACAAAATTCCAGCGTCACTACGACAAGAAGCGAATTCAAGAGAAATTGCATTAAGAAGCGAAGCTTCTTATGTTGCACGTCGTCATTTTCTGTGTAAAAGATGACTCGCGGTAAGAAATTACGCAAACAAATAAATAAGATTTGAGATTTCAAAAGTTGGTTCAGATACAAGATTACAATTTTGATTTAATTTCAGTGATCTCCGATCATTTGGAATAAAGACAACTTTTTTTTATTTTTCATAGATAACTTATTAACTACCTACAAGAATTATTTATAATCTCTCGCTATATACAATCTATAGTACACATATATTAAAAAGCTGAAGCGGAGGAAAATAAAAATATAAAACAAATAATACAATATCAATACAATATCAAGCAGATAAGTGATGAGAATAAAAAAATATCAAGTTGGGGATAATTCGTTGATCGAATACTAAATTCTCTGATCTAACATTATAAGAACTGTAAGGTTGACAGTAAGGAGAATGACAACTTTGTTAAAGAGTTAAAGCGGGGGAAGGCAAGTCGAGGGAGGGGAGGGGGGGAAGTCAATCAGGGAAGGGAAGTAAATCGTAACTGATAGACACGGTTTGTAATCTCTTCCCAAACCTTTCTGTGCATTATCCATAGCTTCTGATGAAATATATACACAATAAATTCAGTGTGTTGGCAGTTCAGCCATTTCAATAACCTGTGCACAATATGCCGTTGTCCCCGGTCGAGTTCCCGGCTTGGCAGCATTGTCAAATTGTTCTGGTATGACTGCTGGACGCGCACTACACACAAGTTTCTTTAGAAAAATCCTGAAACCCCTCATCTGCACTACGTAGATCACAAAATTTACTGCGCTATTGGAAAATGCTATCACACCACTTGAAAAGCGAATGACGTAATCAGTCTGAAAGTCAATATCGGGTTTTGCAATCATGTTATATGCAGCGTAGCCCATGTAACCGAAATATGGAATTATAAAAGCGAACGTCATTGTTGTGAGGAGAACAGTTCCCCGAATTTTGGCTGCCCTTAGTTTTGCCTGCTTGGAGTTGTCCACCTGAATAGAGACCATCATGTTCACTTTTAGCCGTAGGTGTACCTTTCGAACCAGTAAAGTGTTCACTACGATCAGAAAAATGCCCGGAAGGTAATACACAAGTGCAGTAAATGATACAAAGGCAATTCGAGCAGGCAAGTACTCTGTATCGTACTTACAAATCACTGTAAAATGTGTTTCATTCAAATCGTGCCTTATTCCAGTAAATGTCGTAGCAGGAAGCAGAACTACTGCAAATCCAGCAAACCAAGCAAGGAAGATCAACTTGCGAACCGCTGTAGCGCTCAAGGTCCGTGGCACTCTCCTCAACGAAAGGTGCTTTTCAATTCCTATTACGACTAAGTTGCAAATAGTAATGACCGGAAAAACAATGTTAAAGTAACGAACTATTTTACAGGCCCAGTGTGTTTGAAAGAGGTCAAAAGATATTTGGATACATGTCAAAGGAAGAGATACCAAAGTGGATAAAATGTCAGAGAGAGCCAAGCTCTTTATGTACAGATTTAGATTTTTTATAAAGCGGCTTGATTGTATTTCAATGGGTTGTTTGTTCTGAGAAAGAAAATGTAAGATTAAGCTTCCTCCAACAAATCCGATAAGAGCCACAGTCACCATTGAGAATACCAGTGCCTGTTTTATCGTGGAGCCTGCTGGCGTGAAAATGTAGATCGAAGGGTTAGGTGCAGAGGTGCCAGAAATGGACCGGTTAGTACTATTTGTGAAAAGTGCAGAAAGATTTTCAGCCATTGATCCTCAAACTCCCTGCAATATTATAATGCATGAGAAATCTAATCATTGGGATAATATACAGTTTTGTGTGATTATGATCAGAAACGAGATCTAATGCAGCATTGAATTAAGCCATTCTTAGATCTACTTTAAATATTCCATGTGATGCGTGGCACGATTTATTAACCAGTCATGCAAATAATCAATTCAAAGTCAGCGTAAATAATAATGTGGATCTGGTGAAGGTCGTAGTAAACATTTGAAGTGGAAATTTTTTGTGTAATGCTTTATTTTAGTTTTCGAAGACTCTGATTCAAAAGGAAGCTCAATTGGTTTGCATGCAACTTTTGGCACAATGAAAAATTGGAAAATTTCGTATATCAGGATATTTTGAAAAATTGATGAAATGATGCTTGCAATGCAAGTTGTAATGAAAACATTAAGTAAAGAGTGCAAAGTTAAAAAAAAAACAAACAGAGCAAAAAAACCCAAAAACACCTCAGACCTCTGCCCTGCCTTACTAAGCTCCAAAAAGGGCCAGCTGATATTGATTCATGTGTTTGTACACCCTCTACCTCCTTTTATTTTTTTCTCTCCATTTGCTCTCTTTTTCGACAAACATTTCACCGAAATTTCCATCTCAATATCACTAATAAATTTATATAGCAGCGTATCTCTCCCTTAATTCAATTCTAAAATGAAACGACTTTGGGGAAACTCCCTCAAATGTTATAGCGTTGACAACATATGAAAATTTTCAACTGCTGCCGGTGGAAAAAACCTATCATTCTACCCTACAACAGGAGGGACAAAACAAAAGTGAGATTTATCTGTTTGTCTGTTGGAAAAGGAGAGAATCAAAATGAGACCTTGGAAAAGTGAAATGTTGAAGATCTTTTCCGTGGAATGTGCTGGTAGAGAAAATATTGATCCAGATAATAAGTTCCCGAAACGCTATCAGAGCGAATGCCACCCTTGAAGCTCACTGAAATCTGTTTTGGAAAAGCGCAAAATAGACTGCATGAAAAGTGTAAACAATTCCTCTTGCAGACAAGACCAGTAAGAAATTGCAAAGGATACGTGGGTAGAAAAAAGGAGAAAAGAGCATGGAAAAGATCTGACTATTTAAAACGGAAAACACCTTTTTTTAATAATCATTTAGCTGTTCTCAACCCTTTCATGCACAATTTTTTGTGACGACTTCAAATCGTCTCTAACAACTCTAAAATTATGACTTATTGATATAGCACACAACTCGAAATTTTCAGAGGGCGCTTGCTTGCACTCAACTACATGTATCCTTACGAATCACAATGATGTTGATAATGAAAGTAACAATAATCTCTGAGAGGAGCAACGCATCCTCACTAAAAGTTAAATAAAAAACATACAAGACTTACAAGGGGAAAACGTCGGAAGGAGGGATCGAGAGCGGACTGGGACTGAAAGAGGCGAATCGGAAAATTCAGTGAAAAAGAGTCATAAAAGTCGAAAGGCTTAAATCCTTAGGGGGTTCTGCACTCTTAACGGAGTTTAGGCAACTGAAAAAAGAGATTAAAACCAACGAAAGAAATTTTGATTAATGCTGCGCGAACTGTATTACATAACATGCCTGGAAGAGTCCCCTTTGCTAAAATTAAAGGAAGAATTACTGCTTTTGAATGAAAAAAAAAGTCGAAAACGAAAAATGCCAATTTAGCAAGACTCGTCAGTACACATTAAACCAATCTTCAGAAAATCAATGTTTTAAATTGCTATCACATCTAACCTTGACGAAATGCGTTAATTGAGATGGCAACTCACCTACGGGCTAGACAGTGATGGATATGTAAAGGGAGCCAGACGCGTACGATAATGATCGAAATAATTTTCAAGCCGATAAGGTCACATAAAATGCAGCTGCGCGAAATGGCCCTTCGTTAGAGGAGTTTATCAGTTAATCGATGTTTTCGACTCTTTTCGGCAAAAGCAACGTCTAAATTAAACACTTAGGTAAATTGAAGGTGATAGATAATTCCACGTATATAGAAATACTGTCAATAAACCATTAAAAAAAGAGGATTATCCTCCAGTCTTGACCACTAGTATTATAATTGACATAATTCTTATGAGTGTCAAAAATTGTGGGTGTTTCAGCCGATTTTCCAAAACTGCGCCTCAACGATCCATCCTAAAATATACCTCCGCAGGATGAAAACACTTAATGAACAAACCAAAAAGAAAACAAACGGAAAGAAAAAAAGTATTGAAGACCGAATGAGCCCTATTGTAGATACCTTGCCTTACAAAATTTACTTTTTTGGGAAAAATACAAAACAACGCATTGAGACTCACCCTGCCTTGACTTTCTAAAAATGGAAAAAAAAAAATCCTGTTCCAGGCATTCAGATAGTAAAACGGAGCGTGATAGTAGTCAGCGGCGCGATATTAGCGCCGCGGCACTAAAAACGAAGGAAGTTTTGGTCGAGTCGCCAATGATAATAAACTATTCGCAGCTGCGCAAAAAAAATTTAAATTTCCCTAGATCATTTAAGTTAGGTCACAGTTTTTATTTTACTTGGAACGTGAGTATTAACCAAAAATATTTGTAGAAAGGGATAGATACGTGTCTAAGAGGGTCTCTGAAAATGAGAGTCCTGCAAAATGGTGTTAGTTTTCTTTTATTTAGACACCCTTTGTTTCCTATTTGAATGAAGGAAACTTCCATCGATAATGAATTGCTTTCAGAAAGATTACAATACTTGTGATCTCTTTAACATAAAATCATTATCCGTGGATAGTGAAAGAAGGTGAAATTGTTATTTGTTTCCTATTTATAATTAACACCATTTAAAAGAAGCCTGTTTTTAATTTACGTCTCATAAAGTTTTTGCCAGTGACACCCCCTTTTCCCTTGTCGAAGCAGCCGAATTTCAAAATTACCTTTCGCATTTTTTTACCAAGGACCTCAAACAGAGAACCCTTTTTTTCCCCACCTATCTATTCTTTGTTTGAATTTGAATTGAGTGGGTATCAACCCAATTTTGATATCAATCAACACGAACCTTTGACCAGGAGGAACTGAATGAAAACAAGCCCTCTAATTTAGGAAAATGGACCCTGATAACACAGGTGTATCTGAGTGACCAAACTAGCCTACAAGACCCCATTCTGATATCCCAAGTACAAATAATGACACACAACCACCCCCAGTGGATCTCACCATCGAAATCGCGTCAACTTGTTCAAATCACTCTGGCTTCTGCTTAACATTGTCTTGATTGTTGTAAAGGACCTCACAGCTACCGGCAGCTCAAAACTGACATATTGTGAAAAGCAATCAGAGTGTCGTTGAGAACTCGTAGCTTTCACGGAAGTTTTAAAGTTTTCAATTCAATTTTGTATTTTCGCGTTGACATACTGAAAAGAAGGAAGCCTTAAGAGACAAAACGTTAAGAAAAACGACGTAACTATTAAGTACAGGAAACGCGATGAAAATGCGGTAAATGGAAAGCATGCAGAGGTTGATCCCTTGGTGCAAAGACAAATCGATATATAATTTAACTGCTGTATTATACTTGTTTTGCTCCTTGCATACTTCTTCAATAATGATATATTAAGTTATAAACTCGAGAAAAGAGAGTAATATCTTCGCCACACTATGACTGCGAAAACTTTTGATATCACGTAGTGATGATCATGCAACAATGCTGAAGTAAGTATTGAGTGGAAACTGACAGTAAAACCAATACAGCAATGTGAGGTCCAAAGGAGACTAATGAATTTTGGTGAGCATCGTATTCAAATGTGCGCCCGAGGTTAACTTTACTCGTTGTACGTATCCAGAATACCCTCAAATGCGCTAGTATTCAGGGTCGCGATTGAGTTTCCAAGAAGCACACTTCAGGGTGGAAAGAGTGAAGTGCTTCGCGAATTTTAAGAGGAATATTTCTTTCAGCGTAGAATATAAAACAACCAGACACATTTTTTGGTACTATAGCTTCAAAGATACGGTGTGCTTTAATACTCCAGAATATTTTAGGAGTACGAGACAAGCGTGGTGTACTTTTAAGAATATGCCAGAGAGATTACTGACGCGAGGTATTCGAGCACAGTCGCGACGAATATTCCAGGTTTGCGCGGGGTATTGTGCGCGACTCGAATACTCTAGGACT